AGCAAGGAACTGCATAGGATTTCAGGGCCAGCCGCTTGCTGACAAGCACAGCAGGGGTGGGAGGGAAGGGCTAGCATACTGCAAGTTATGAAGCTGGCCTTGTGTCTGCAGATTTACCTCTCCTTCCCAGAGATGAAGACCACCCAAGTGTTCACCTCTAGGCAAATTCACTTTATAACACCCCACTTGGTGATGACAGAGGAAGCCAGAATGCATGTTTAATATAGAACTCTCAGTGCCAGGGGCTTTCGGATGCAGGTGGTGGGGGCATCCTTTAGCTTCTGTCCTGAGGACTGGCCCTGTATCACTCATGTTCCCTTTGTTCCCTTCCCTTCCAGGGTTCTCGAGGATTCCCAGGAGAGAAGGTAGTAAAGTTTGTTGGTTTTAATGAAACGCTCGCAATACTTCTTCTTTTCCCTTTCCGGAATAACTCATTCCACTTGTCATCTGCCTCTTTCTCCTCAGGGTGAACTGGGAGAGATTGGCTTGGATGGTCTGGATGGTGAAGAGGTGAGCAATTTCACTTCCCAAGTCCCAGCTGTGTCTATTCCTGAGGTTCCAGTTACCGGCAGCTGAGTCTGTAGGAGCCGTCACTTCTCATGACACACTCTCATTGTCTTTACAGGGAGACAAGGGGTTACCTGGTTCATCTGGAGAAAAGGGGAGTCCTGGAAGAAGGGTAGGTGTCGCCTTATCTCACTGTTTCCAGGGGCGGGGGAAGACATAATGCCCTTCTCCGGGGACCAGTTAATATTCTTTCTATGGGTTTGCGTGTAGATGTAAGAGTGATGTCCCCTCTCAGCTGTGACACCATATATGCTATATCCTTGTTGGAAGACATGTTCCACAGGGTGGAGACTGAGTCCTAATGCCTGGCCCTGAGCGGCTCCTCAGGAAACATTTGTGGACTAGCCAAACCCATGAGAACTATTTTGATGTGATTTGGGAGCTGAAGAGATGACTCAGTGGTTAAAAATACGCATTAATCTTCCAGAGGACCCCAGTTCAGGTCCTAGGACTCAGGTTGGGTGTTTCATATTACAATTTCTGCTCTGGGGGATGTGATGCACCCTTCCGACCCCTGCAGACAGCGCACTCAGGTGCACACACAGATAGACACACATACACACCTAGAAAGAAAATATATCTTAGAAAAAAGTGACTTTTTCCAGCTTCATGCTAAGTGGGAAATGGCAACAGGTGTTATGAGACTTACAAAACAGGGAATGTGCTTTTGATGAATGATCCAGAGGTCTAATATATAATAGCATGAAGGTTATAATTAATAAACTCTGCTGTATTAGAGATTCTGGTCAGAGTAGGACACATCAGCTGCTTTGATCACAGAGGTAGGGCAATAATTACAATCGTTCTCGTCACCATAGCAATTGTCCCATGCTTATATACATCTTATAGCATCATGTTATAAATCTCAAACACTCACCAAAATACCTTTCTAATAATTCTACCAGAAACAACTAGTTTTTAACTTCCACTGTGTAATTGATTTAGGGCGACAAAGGACCCAAAGGAGACAAAGGAGAGAGAGGAGATGTTGGAATTAGAGGTGACCCGGTAAGAGGATTCTCTATTGTGGACTTCATGGGAGAAGGCTTATGGGAAAAGAAAGGAGTGGTTTACATTTTGAAATTGCTTTAAAATGTGCTGATCAAATATGAAATTTATCATTTCCTTTCAATTTTGGGGGTCATTGGGGATGATATGTTTCTATTACAACAAGCATTTATAAGTAAGTCACTTGGTAGGTGTGTGTCCAAGATTCTTCCTAAGATGCCCTCTGGATACTTTGCACTTGCTTTGGAAAATGGACCTATGTAGCTCTCTGTGGTTCATGGTTTGTAAACCCTGTAAGCAAAGGGCCACTGCTGCGATGGCCTGTTCTACAGGTCACCTACCTCTATGGTAGAGGATGGAAAGTGAAATTGAATGTTCTCCTTAGTAGGGAAGAACTTGTGCCTCCCAATCAGGGCCATGGTTAGGCTCTGGGTGTTAGCTGGGCAGGATGTAGCTTCAAGGACTGTTTTGGAGAAACTTCCCTTCATGCTGCTGCTAAGAATTCCAATGGCTGCAGCTTCCCTCATATGGAACTCATTCCCCAACCCCTGTTGTTTTCAGGGTGACTCAGGACGGGACAGCCAGCAGAGAGGACCCAAAGGAGAGACGGGTGACATCGGCCCCATGGTACAGTGATCCATACCCACAGACCCTTTGTGCACAGGGCAGAAAACCTCAGGGTGATTCACACCACACCAACTGCAGCCCCCATAAGCTGTAGAGAGTCTGTGAGACCAACAGCATTGTCCCCCAAGGCTGGCACCTGTGTGCCTGGGAAGGAAGACCCTGCAGAACTGGGCACCAGAGGGGCTCCCAGGCAGCGGTTGTGCCCTGAAGCCTTGTGCAGTGGACACTGGTGAAGCCAAAGTCTTGAAGGAGTGATTCTGAACCTAAGCCTGATGCTTCCCAAGAGTGTCTGGAGGTCTGTCCTCCTGTAGACAGACCCCTCCTTGGGAATAGACCCCCTCAGTGTCTCCAGCAACATACTCTGGGGTGTAATGTTCTCTGTAGGTGAGAACTCATGCTGTTTTTTTTTCTCCCATACCAGGGTCTTCCAGGCAGAGACGGCATCCCGGGAAGGCCGGGAGATCCTGGGAAGGATGTGAGTATCTTAGGATGCTGTGCACTGCTCAGGCTGCTCAGTGGCAAGAGACTGATGCATAGTGCCTGATGCTCTACTAATGGAGCAGCTCTTTAGTCGGGAGTGTGTTAGAGCTATTTCTGAAACCATCTATATTTTGTACTGTACAGACACAGCACTAAAAACATCACGATTTGCAGCAATGTAAAATGAGTAGGTTTTGGCTTTTGATTTAATGTGGCTGTGCCCTAGACTGTTTGCTTGGCTCACAGTTCTGGAGGTGTCAGGGAGGCCCCAGGACTTCATGGAGCATAGCTAGCAAGGGCCTTCATGCTTGTGTTCCTGTGGGGGAAAGTAGGAGGCGAGACATGATCTTTCCACCAAATTTGTTGCTTATAGAAAAATTTCATTTTTAGTTTCCTCTGTCACCAGTCGCTTCTCCTTCCCTCTGCCCTTTCTCCCTCCTCCAGTCTTTTGTTTGTTCCTTTCATAGAAAACACTAAATGCTTATAAGACACAAGGTCTTTGCTGTTTTCAGGTATTTGGTCAACTCTTACCCATTAAGTAGCTAAAACATCCAAACAGAAATGCTAATGCTGGCTGGTGAGGGCCCAAGGGGAAGAAGGCTGAAGAAACAGATACTTGTTGCTTTTTTTTTTTTTTTCTACTCACATAAGGAAACTAGGTGCAATATGCAGCGTCTACCACACTGTATTTTTGATACATTTCTGGAATGTGTGTCCCTGAATAGCTCATTGCCTATTCAGTCACTGAAGACATGTGGAAGCTGAGGTGAAGCCAGCCACTTGAAAGCTTCCTGGGCCCAGGCGAGCAGAGAGCAGGGTCCCCATAGCTGGGTAGCTGGGAGAAGAGGAATGAATCCTGGTTGAGGAGGAGGCAGTGGTCAGGAGGTCGCAGTCCTCAGGGAGCCCAGGAAGTTAGTGGGGGTGGTGGGCCTGGCCTGGGCAGAGCAGGGCAGGGTCCCCAGCATATCTGAGCCCAGCAGCTGACAGTCACAGGAGTTTCTGAGGCATGGGGCTTTCCTGAGGGGTGACAACCTTGCACTCAAATGGCTTATAAGTTTCTAAAACAAAAATTAAATTGTTACCTTAAAAAGTTTTAAAACATTTTCGACTGGAGAGCTAGCTCAGTCCACCAATGTTTACCATACAGGCTTGTGAACTTGAGCTTGCAAGTAAAAGTGTAAAAGTCTGGGTGTGGTGGTTGGTTGATATGGTTGAGCCACACAGGGACAAGAGCTGTTGCAATCAGCTTTTGTAACCCAATTCTCAAAAGGATTTTAGGACATGACTGAAAGTTCACTGGGGCGGGGGTAGAGTCATATTCAACTCCTGTGGGAATTTAGGGCCTTTTTTAGTCTCAACTCAGGGTCCACTGAGTGGCAGGAGATGGAACACAGTAAATTTGCCTCAGGGTGAGGACCAATAGAGAGGCCTTTTGTCCCTTCCCTGAGGACCCTGCTATGCCAAACACAGACCAAGATGGCTCCATGGAGTCAGAGCACTCCTCAGCCTCCTCCTCTGGCCTCTGCAGGCTGCCAGTGAGCAGTGAAACACCTACTCTGATGAATAGCATGTTCCTTCAGGAGGAGCAGACTGGATTGCTACTCTATGTGGGGCAGGAGTGGTCCTCATATTCACACTTACCCAAAGAAGGAGGACAGCACTGTAGTGACTACAGAGTGGGAACTGTGGATTCCAGGGCTGATTCCCTCCCCTGCCCTGCCCCGGGGGTGGGGGTGGAGAATGTGGCTCCCAGGTTAACCCAGCACTTGGCCTTGCAAAGATAGCCTAGGGCACCCACAGACCTCCTCCCACAACCTCCACTGGATCAGTCTCCTGATGGGGAAACCCTGGGTCCCTCTGCAGTGAGCCCACATTTTTTTTTTTAAACTAAGGCTCACCTCTGGAATACCCAGGGAGAAGCTGCCAAGACATGAGCCCAACTTTTAGGTTCACATGTGTGCACTGGGGCTGTTGTTGTTGTGTTTGGCCAGGAGGGTTGGGAACCCAGGACTCCCTCCACCACAGTGAAGCATCCCAGCACTGCTAAGTTAGTGCCATGGGCAGGTTCAAATTCCTGCTTGCCATTCTTCTCTGGGAACTGGCTGGGATTCTGCAGCCAGAAGCCATTATTTTCCTTGGCAGGCCAGCAGTCATTACCAAACTTCCACTGGAGTAACGAGCAGGCACAGCATAGCAGTAGACCCTGCTGTAGGTGGGGGAGGAAGGAAGGATGGAAGGTCTGAGTGTGAGCTTGCCAGCCTCCTAGACTCAGGGGCTTGTTGCTGGCATGGGGCTTGCACTACAGTGCGGGGGGGATACATTTGTTAGGACCCAACGTCCCCCATTGCCTCCTCAAAGTCGTATGGCTTCTCCCGCAGGGTGGCTCTGGCCGAAGGGGACCTGCAGGAGCTAAGGTGAGTCACTGGACTGGATTGCCATGTCTCTTGTCTCTCTGTCACCCAGTTTCCCAGGAGACTCCTGGATACTGTCAACCCAGGGATTAAGATATTCTCCCTGGCCAACAGTCCCAAAGTCTCTGCTTTCTTCCCCATCATGGTCTCAAACTCAGCCTCTTCTACAAGAGACAGTGTTTCGAGTGATTTCCAGAGTGGGTGGAAGGAAGGGAAATGGCTGACAGGTGGAACTCTGGGTAGCCCTCTGCCCTGTTCGCCCCTGTGTCTGGTCTTCGTGCCTGTGCCAGAGAGGATTCAGTCCAAAATATCCTTATTTCTTAAAACTGTCCTGTGGAACAGGCAAGTCAACCGTGTAGGCTCAGAGAGACAGCCACTGCCCCTCGAGCAGGTTCTCGTTGCTACTGTCGCCAGCCATCTGTACCCTTTGCCCAGTCCAGAACAGAGAGTTGGGTTATTTACCTGCTTGTCTTGTCTCCAAGGGCAACAGGGGCGGTCCTGGCCAGCCAGGCTTCGAGGGAGAGCAGGGTACCCGAGGCTCACAGGTCAGTACCCTGGTGTGACCCATGCCTTGTAGTATTTCCCTTGTCCCTTGGTTTTAAATGATGGTCATTTAACACAGATTCGACCTTTACTAACAATTCCGCAGCACTTAGAGCGTTCACCATATTGTGTAAGAACTTCAAAACAGTTTATTTTAAATAAAATGCCTCGCAAAGGAGGCATGTTGTGGTTACCCCCTCCTTATTGCTCTCTACCTTTGTTGCCCCTTACCCTATCAACCCCACCTGTCACCCTCCACCTTTGTCATTTCCCTCACTCTTATAGACCCACACACCCGTCACCCTGAACTCCGGATGTGTTCTAGTGCGTGCCAGAATTTTATTCCTTTCAATGGCTGAGTAATATTCCACCACATGGATGAAGAACCACTTTTCCATTCATTGGTTGCTTAGCATTTGTGTTGTTATTACTCTTTGGTTACGGAGAATTCGTAGGATTTCATAGGCTCAGCTAATAGCACTCACCTGTGACATGGCCTTTTACTCTCCAGGGCCCTCCTGGTCCCATTGGTCCCCCAGGCCTGATTGGGGAGCAAGGAATTCCTGGACCTCGGGTAAGCATCTGGGTGTGACAACGGGAGTGTGTGCTGACTGGTGGAGCTGATGCACGAGTGGCTGACAGTGTGGAGTCCGCAGGAGCCGCTCTGTGATTCCTTGGGCTTCAGTGGGCAGTGCTGAATGTCACTGAGTGCTTGGGATTTGTGGATGAGACAGGTCACCCGTGACCTCTGACAGGGGACAGCCAGGAACCTTGGTCTGGATGGCTGGTGCTTCATGTTCACCCCTCTCCTTGCCTTACAGGGAAGTGGAGGTACTGCTGGGGCTCCTGGAGAGCGTGGCAGAACTGGCCCGCTGGGGAGGAAGGTGTGTGTAGAACTCTATCGCTTGGCTGAGGACAGGCCGGTGTTGAACTGGATGCTGCCACCTCCCTGCTGCCTGCCCACCCCCACCGCTTCCCCTTCAGCCTGACCCTTGTGCATCAGCGGTCACAAACACAAATACCCTACCCCAGTTCCCCCTGAATGTTACATTAGCGGCGGGGCACACTTTTTAATCCTAGTGTCTCTCCTTGCCTTACAGGGAAGTGGAGGTACTGCTGGGGCTCCTGGAGAGCGTGGCAGAACTGGCCCGCTGGGGAGGAAGGTGTGTGTAGAACTCTATCGCTTGGCTGAGGACAGGCCGGTGTTGAACTGGATGCTGCCACCTCCCTGCTGCCTGCCCACCCCCACCGCTTCCCCTTCAGCCTGACCCTTGTGCATCAGTGGTCACAAACACAAATACCCTACCCCAGTCCCCCCTGAATGTTACATTAGCGGTGGGGCACACTTTTTAATCCTAGTGCTATATATAGTCAGTATTTTATTGAAATTTTAAAAGATTTTTAAAATCATATGTATGTATGTATCCACCCATCTGTCTGTCTATCTATCTATCTATCTATCTATCTATCTATCTATCTATCCATCCATCCATCCATCATGTGTGTGGTAGTGTACATACCACAGTGGGTACATGGAAGTCACTGGACAGTGTGGTGGGATTTGGTTTTCTTGTTCCACCACATGGAATTCAGGGTTTGAACTCAGGTTGTCAGGCTTGGTAGCAAAAGCATTTTACTTCTTGAGCCTTTTCATCAGTCACTGCACTTAGCATCTTAAAATTATGAATGTAACAGTACCTATTTATAGGGCACAATGTGATAATTTCATACATACATATGATAAGGTCAGAGAAATGGTCATTTCTTTGTCTTGGGACCCTTGAAACTCTCTCTGCTGAGAGAGTTATCTAAACTGCAGTCATCCCATAGTGCCCACTAGAACATTCCACTCCTGCCTAACTGCATGCTGGCACCTTTTACTCATTTATGTTCTGTCCCCCACCCCTGTATCCCTACTGATCATGGGCCTCCACTCTATCATGACGTCAACCTATAGTGCCCACTAGAACATTCCACTCCTGCCTAACTGCATGCTGGCACCTGTTACTCATTTATGCTCTGTCCCCCACCCCTGCATCCCTACTGATCATGGGCCTCCACTCTATCAAGACGTCAGCCCTTGTTGCTTCATGCGTGAGACAGCGTGTGGCCCTTGTCTTGCTGTGCCTGGCTTGTTACAACTAAAAATAGATCTCATGGAAATGTAAAAGGTGAATTATGAGGCACCCCCCTCAGTACATCAGTGCAGCAGTTGTGGGGCATGGGTCCCCATGAGCCAGCCTCCACTCAGTGTGTCATCCTTTCTTCCTGTGTAGGGTGAGCCAGGAGAGCCAGGACCGAAGGGAGGCATCGGGAACCGTGGACCCCGTGGGGAGACGGTAAGGCCACCCCAGTGCCTTTCAGGGCTCACTGATAGTGAAGACAGGTGCAGAAAGCCAGGCCCCAGAGAGGCTTGTGGTTCCCTGCTTGAGTTAGTGGGAATGTGGGTAAAAATCATGAAAGCTGCTCATTGCAAAGTGAGTTTTGTTTCATTGGCAGCTTTGTGGATGAAGAAGGAAGTCTAGAGGCCATTGGGGAGTTTTGTAAAATGAGTCATTCTTTTTGAAGACTCTGTGAAAGGGCCAGCCACCAGATGATTAAAGTCCCAAGCTCTAAAGAATCAATATGTCTTCCTAATGCATTCTTCTTGTCTTTCCAACGCATTCTTCTTGTTGTGGGATAATTAACAGTGTTCACGCCTAGTGTCTCACATGATGGAGAGCACAGACCTGGAGACACAGTGCTCAGGTGTTTGGAGAAGGGCTGTCCAGAATGGGTGGCAGGCTAGGACACAAAGGGCTTGGGGACCGGAGAATAAAACAGAAGGTCCAAGAAGTCAAGGTCAGCATTTTTTATTTGAAAGAGCCTCACAGATAAATGGTCACATAGATCCAAGCATCTCTATAGACCTTGCTCATACCTGTGGTGGAGTGCACAGAGATGGAAAGCTTTCTTCTCTAGTCCCTTTGGTCTGAAAACATTCATGCACTCACCCTCTGTTGAGGGTGTGGATGGTGTGACATGGTAGTTGTGAGGTGCCTGGTGCAATGGCTTGTAGTAACATTCTCTCTGTTTCCCTTAGGGAGATGATGGGAGAGACGGGGTTGGCAGTGAAGGACGGAGAGGCAAAAAGGTATGTTTCTGCTGAGCTCCTGGGGAAACCCTGTTGTTGAGAGTCACCAAGGATGGCTTCTCAGATCTTGTATCAAAATCGACTTTAGTGGCTTTAAGTTGGGACCCTATACTGAGGCATTTATTGTCTTTTACAGGGAGAAAGAGGATTCCCTGGGTATCCAGGACCAAAGGTGAGTGCCCTGGGCGATGGAGCATACATAACCAGTGCTTCTGGATAGGCTTGGGGTTTCCCATGAGCTGAAGTCAGAGTATCTCAGCTTTAGTCTTGGGTCAGCCACTTACGACAGGGCCACACTGGAAAGTGTCTGAGCTCTCTAACACGTTCCCTTTTGTACGGATGGATGTGGCAGTGCTCGTTGTCCATGGTGCTTAAGGCTATGTGAACAGTGGAAGAATTGGGGACCTGTAAATGCCATAAACCATGTGGCAGAGACCCCAGTGGTGGAGTAAATCCAGGCTCTCTACAAATTGTGCCAATACACTGGAGCCATTGTAGAAGAGAACCTGTGAAATATTTGGGAAGTATGGTTTAGATGTCCTGTTGGAGTCCTGCCCCAAGGACCCTCAGCAGGACCTTCTGTGGCAGACATTGATGTGTCACTTCTTGGCTGTCTTCCCAGGGTACCCCTGGTGAGCCAGGGGCAGATGGACCACCAGGACCTAAAGGCATCAGAGGCCGAAGGGTAAGTTTGGCCACACCTTGCTGCAGGTGGGAATAAGCAGACTCGTGGCAACAGAAAGGGATGCCAAACCTGCCAGAACATACAGTGTAAGGGATCAAAGGAGCTTCTTGGGGTCATTTGTCCTTTACCCCTAAAGTTTGGAGACCATTGAGCCCTGTTGAAGTGAAAGACTTCTCACAGGGGAAGGTTGGAATGGATTCCTCCTCCCACCCTCCCACCCCTAGGAGCTAAGAACATTCCATCTTCTACCTCCTGTAGGGAAATTCAGGACCTCCAGGGATAGTCGGACAGAAGGGAGACCCTGGCTACCCAGGGCCATCTGTAAGTATCCATTCAATTCCTAACAAGTCACTGGGTGGAAGGAAGGGTGGCGGGTGTGTCTGATCTCGGAAATTTCCAGTCATCTTCTTGCCTCCAAAAAGTCCTCTGTATTTGTGTGAAGATCTGCTAACTAAACCTCTTAACTTCTTCCCTTCTAATAGCATGATGGAGAAAAGTACATTGAAGTTTTGAAATAATACACTTTG